TGAAGCACCAGGACTGGGATCAGGACAGGTAGAGCCCATGGCCCAGGAGCTGATGTAGCTCCTGTAACAGCAGCATTTCTGGGTCCCTCAAAGCTGGGAGCTGCTGCTGTGGTGGGTAAAGCCTGTTTGCAAGGCTCCCTGCAGGATTTACTTACGCCTGTGTGAGGAGTGGTCCGTGGAGCTTTGTCCCTGGTGCATCCACAGAGGATGGATTTGGGGGAAGCGCTCTCCTGCTGCTGGGTAAACGCCTCTATTGATGTTCCAGGTGTGAACTCCTGACAGCCCGGCTCTAATTACTGTTTTTATCATTCCTAATGACAGGCTTTAGGTTTCCAGGCTGCTTATGGATTTCAGGGGTGTGGAGTGACAGTTGCTCACTCGGAGCTTAGTGACCTCCTCTGGTCTGAGGGCTCTGGAGATGGCTTCAGCCACCTCCTGCACACAGATGGGCTCCTGGCCTCGCCGAGCCCTGCTCACTCCAGCAGCTCCCCGGGGAGTGCACCCTGCAGAGTCATCTGCTCTGAGTCACGACAGCCACCTCCCTCCCCCTGCTCTGCCCTTTGCTCTGCTCTGCCCCTCACCCTGCTCTGCCCCTCACCCTGCCCCTCTCCTTGCTCTGCTCCTCTCCCCTGCTCTGCCCTTCTCCCTGCCCCTCTCCGAGTGCTGCTCCCTCTCCCCGTGTTGGCTTTCCCGGAGGTTCCTAAGCCCCGGCTGGCAGACGGAGCGGTGGCTGCTGTGGGGTGGCCGAGTCCCCGTGGTCCCCTGCCTCCAGCCATCTGTCACCCGCCTGTCTTACAATGCCAGGGCTTTAGAGGTGACCCCGAGATGGATTTGTACCCCAGTGCCGTGTCCCAGGCTGGCCCCGGGGCTGGGGAGGCTCTGTGCCCCAGGGAGGGGCAGTGTCAGTGCCCATGGAACTGGAACTCGCTGTGATCCCAAGCTGTTCCTGCAGGAGTGAAAAGGTGTGATGGGCTTGGGCTGGCTCATGGAAAAAGGCTGAGCAGCTCTTTCCTGGTGAGGAGTTTTACTGTGCTCAAGGGAAAACCGTGTGGTCTTTTAAGCACATCCTTCGTTGCTGAAAACCCTAAAGCTCTTGGCCTTGCTGTGCTGAAGGGGAGCATCTATCCCTTGACCTTGATTTGTCATCTGCCAAGAAGTAATCAAAAAAATCCCATCTGGTGCAGGACAGAGACGCACAGCGCTGGGGCATGCCGGGAAGCCCCGGGCCCTCGGAGCTGGGTGGTTTGTCCTGCCACAGCAAAGCCCTGGCCCAGCTGCTGGAGGGAAATTTCACCCTGTGAAAGGGCTGAATTTACCTTCCAGCAGCTTCAGCCCTGCATGTAATCCTTGATCCATTGAGGAGAAGTCTGTGGTGGTGCAGTGGCCACCTGATTCCAGGTATCCATTTACCCCCCTGGCAAGGTGCTGTGTGGAAATGAGTCAGGGATGGGCTGGGGGGGCTGAGGAACTTCCCAGCCCCAGAGGGCAGGAATGTCTTACAGGGAGCCTGGAAACAGGAGAGGTGAATTGTCAGACAGAGCAGAGCTGTGTTTCCCATGGAAACTGCCTTCTCTTGGCCTGAAAAGAACAAGCTGTGGCTGCTAATGCTGCTTCCTGCTCCTAACCTGCTCAGGAGATAAAGCAGGGATTTCAGCCTCCAATCCAGCACCTTTCCCCGGTAGTAAATAGACGTGGCATTACTGGGTGATGTCATGGCTGGAGCACATCCCAGCAAGGCCAAGCCTGGATCAGGTTATATCTGGCCTCTCAGAATATTGGCTTACTCCCAAAGGAGCATATTGCCAGTCCAAGGGCAGTGACTGAGGCCACCTTTCCCAAGGTCACCTCTGGCACGCACAGAGGGGACAGCCTGGGCTGCCCACGCAGGGCAGAACCTCCTGACCCTCCTTCCTGGCACCACTTTGTGTTGGCACCAGCGAGGCAAAGACCCCCAGCCCTCCTTTGGGNTAAGGTCCCACTGGATGGACACAAGACCATGTAGATGACATAGGATGGACACAAGATCATTTAAATCATGTTGGATGGACACAGGGCCATGTAGATGCCACTGGATGAACACTAGAGCACACAGAAGACCGTTTCTTCCCCCAGAGAGGAGAGAGAAGAACTGCTCACCATCCCTCCTATCCTCCACAAGCCCCATGGACATCAAGCCTGCAGCCACAGTCACTTCACACTCCCAAAATTAACCACCACACATCACCCTGTCTCACTGTCCCAGCTTGATGATCTGATCATTTCACTACATCCTACAACTTGACGAAAACATCAGAATCAAGACAAAGAATTCTGGAGCCCAAAATACCTGATATAATTAACTGCACTTTCCAACATGATTATTTCCTTCCCTGACCCCAATTATTCCTTCAGTTTATTAAAGAAAACTCAGATACAGAGCAACGTTAACACCCAAAGAGTCACATAAACAGAAAAAAAAGTCTGAGGGCACCATTACAAACAGACTTAATGGAACTCCAAGATTGGAAATGGATCTTGAAAGCTGTCAGATCAAAGCAAGATCTTTCTCGTGTAAGGACTGCATTACCCTCGGAGCCACAGAGCTAATACCATCTATAAAAATATTTTGCTCAAATAAGTGAAGAACAGCAGCGTTTCATCTGTCAAAAGGTGCGAGGCTTTTATGGGATTAGCCATTCCACATGCAGCATAAAAATTAGAGCAGATTTTTAAAAGCCCCCAGCTCAGCTGACGGAGACTCCACAGCCCGACGTGCGCCCGCTCTCTTCACATGCTCTCCACACCAAGCACATTTTTCACTGTTATTAGCATTTAAGCTTCTTTTTACTCTTTCTTTCCCCCCTTACTCTCATAAAAGATTACAAACTGGCATCACCCATAAGCAGCCTCAGCTGAAGCACCACCACCCAGACTCAGAGAAATTAAGATTTTTAAATACCCAACGGTTGCCTGAGAAAATACACCAGAAAACACCAGTTCTCACACAGGGAAGCTTAAAAAGTGGAGTAGAATGTGCTCAAAACCAGCCTCCAGACCACGGGCGCTGACGGCTTCCCACCCCCCTTCCCAGCAGGATTCCAACGGCAGCGTTTTGCCCAGATTTTAAGGCTGCACAAACCTGCTTAGGACGCTTGTGATTTGAAATAATTGCCTACACAAGCTTTCCCCTAACATTGATGGGAGTATTTTTTATGGCCGTGCATCGGTGGCACACAAATTACGTAACACTTGGCTGAGAACCCTCCGAAAAAGCAGCTCTGTGCCGCTAATCCCTCACGCAGGAAGGAGGAAAATATTTAAAAGCTGCATACAAATCATTCCTGTGAGTGTCGTGCAGACTGGTTTAAATTAGATGGGGTAAAAATATATGTGAGCTGATCACGAAACACTGGAATCTTTGCTATGGAGACACCGGTTCCTCTCCACAGCCTTTTACAACCGAAATACAGGGAATTCTCCCCGGCAATGCAAGGAGCACACAGGCACCTTTACTAGAGCTCATCAAGGAAATACGAGGAGAATAACAACCCCCATGTAAATATTTTCCAGTATTATTTGCTTTGCTGTACTGAAAAGCAGCAGTACCTGCCACTACTTGCTCTGGGTCTACCACCATTAAATCTTAATACCCAGGAGGAATTTCAATCCGTAAGGCAACTGCTGAGCCTGAAATTCAGGTCCAGGGCAGGAAGAGGGGCAGACCTCCTCAGAAAGCCGTCACTCCATAATTTTACAAAATGTAATTAACCAGCTCCGGCCCTGTGCCTTTGCTTCCCTAGGAGAAGGATTTCTTCACAGAGTAATTAGCCTGTCCCAGTTAAGACTCAAGTCACCATACAACATATTTTCCCCAAAACAAAGCCACATGCACTATTTTAAAAAAATATTGCCATTTCCTCACAGCCACTTAAATCTCTTCCCAGCTTTTGGCTTAGTCACTGCCTGGATCTAAAACTCAGTGAAACCAACCCACCACTGTGGGAGCCGCTAAAACCCTGGGTTTATTCCCACACTGGAGACACTTCATCATTCCAGAGCACTGCCTCCTTTTAATGTATAGAAAAGCTGGAGGTAAGGGAAAAAAAACCTCTTAGTACTTCAAACACATGTCCAAAAGCCACAACATAAAGACAAAGAGGACAGATTAAACGCTGTAAAGACACACTCGTCGGGAACCTTCCTTTGAAGTGTCTGCAGGAAACACTGTCATCACGCAGCCATGTTACAATTACACAGTTAAAATAATCAGCACCAGTTGTAAGTAGCCCATCTGGTTCCCTGGAAAGGGAACACTGCTGGTACAGTATTGATTAACACGACGAGTCTCACTGACCCCAGAGAAATGCATTTGTCTGCTCTGCTGAGCAGCGGAAGAACGCGGCACGACGCCGTGCTACGCTTGGCTTTGTTCACGAGCATTTGGGGGGACTCGGTCCGTTAAAACACGAGTGGAAAATAAAATAATGTTATCAGGTTGCCTACCACACACGAAGGAAAAAATTAAGCCAAAGGGTTTTTGCTCTGGGGCTTTTTTTTAACATTTCCTCCCCCATCCAAACCCAGCATTCAAAGTGGACAATCTGCAGGTTTAAGTCTGAGAAAATGCTGTTGCAACATCATAAAAACAAAAAGCTGCCCATGGGGGGCGAAAAAAAAAATCAGCTTACTCTGAACCACGCTTTTTTATGAAATGGAGAAACAGACAAGAGTTCATTTCTAAAAGCAGAAGCAGAACTGAGCAGCAGAACCAAGTGTGGAACACGAAACACAACATCTCCAGTTTTCAGCCAGCGCCGACATGGCTGGGGCTTCTCGGTCACTATTTACACCAAGGACGAGTCAAAAACAGCCTTGGGAACCGAGGGCTGGCCGTGCTTCCCGAGCCCTGCCTGTTGTTTGCCGCACGGGCAACTCGCTTTGCTGCGAGTTTGGCAGCCCGAGCCCTCGCACTGACTCACACAGCCCGGGGTGCCACAAGCCCCGGCTCGCCGGANGCGGCCTGCAGGTAACGGGGCGGTGGCGGGGCCTCACCGGGCACCGGGGGAGGAGAACAACAGGGGAGAGGGGTGTTCGGGCTGCTTGGGAGGGACCTGTGGTTGTGCCGTCCTGAAGGTCCGTCCTGTCAGCGCTGTTGGGGGCTGACTTGGGAAACAACGTGGAAATAATGGAATGATTTGTGTGGGAAGGGATTTTATTCTTACCCCCTGCCATGGGCAGGGACACCTTCCACTAGCCCAGGTTGCTCCAAGCCCTATCTAGCCTGGCCTTGGACACTTCCAGGCTTTACATTCTAAGAACTGCTTTCCAACATGCCTTTAGAACAAAAAAAAAAAAAAAAAAAACAAAAAAAACCCCAAAAAAAACCAGACACGGAGAGGAAAAAGATGAGCTATTAAGTGTTTTGAAGATAGGTTGTCTATTTCTACTTGTGCTTTCTTTGCTCCGGGTTATAAACATTTCCTAAGTCAGGTGGGAGGTGCCCAAGCAGGGATCCCATCCAGGGCTCCCAGCTGCAGTCCTGACACTCACCCACAGCATTTCCCTGCTCAGGAATCCGAGTCTCAGGAAGGCACACAAACCTTCAGCAGCCACGTTACTGTTCCAATTGTTGTCTTGTTTTTCTTTCTCTCCTTCCTCAGAGCCTCCTGGCACCAACACTTTCCCTACCACGTCAGGGTCTCGGCGGAGTCCTGACAAAACAAATCATAATCCGGGATCCAGTCAGACTTTGGAATCTCCTGGGTGAGTCCTGAGGAGCAGGAAGGGAAAAGGTCTGATTTCATAAGAGAATTGACCTTTCCTCGCCTTCCCCCTGCGTTCCTGAAGGTGCAGCAAAGGTTCTGTTCCTGGATGTGGGAGCTGGGGGTGTTTGCAGGGATCCAGGGATGTGTTTGGTGCCAGGAATGAGCAGTGGCACCTTCCCATGAGGAGCTCAGGGGATTAAAGAAGTACTGGGGTCGTTAGACTTGGTGTTTGTAGCCTTTTTGGGCTTTTATTGGAGTATTCCCCAGCATGATTTAATTCCATTATCTGTATTTCCTTGAATGAGTGTTTCCAATCCCAAGTGTTAGGCTGTTCCTGACTGCCCTCACCAGTGTTAGCAATGGCTGTGCCTTGGGAATTGTGTCCATGGTTCAGTGCTAAAGAAATTCCTCCAAATTATTTCCCTTGTTGCCATCAAAGCAACCTCTGACCTGTGCTTGCCTGCAGGTAGCACTGCCTGGTTTGCTACATCCAGCTCTCGAGGGAGTAGCCAGAAGAATGGAGGATTCAAGAAGAAATCCCCACAGGAGGAGGATGGTACGTGTGTGCCAAAAATTCTGGTGTTTACTGAAACACAGGGAGGAAAATCCTCCTTCCTGCTTCCCTGTACCTGCACCTTCCCCCTGTACAAGCCTGAGGCTAGGGACAAGCTGGAAGGAGTGTTTTGGTTTAGGTGATGGACTGGAAGATACAAGGCAGATGATAGAAATCCTGGAGTGCTTTGGCTTGGAAGGACCTAAAGCCCATCCAGTGCCACCCATGGCAGGGACACCTCCCACTGTCCCAGGGTGCTCCCAGCCCTGTCCAGCCTGGCCTTGGCCACTGCCAGGGATGCAGGGGCAGCCCCAGCTGCTCTGGGCACCTGTGCCAGGGCCTGCCCACCCTCCCAGGAAGAATTTCCCCTAATATCTAATCAAGGGATGACAGATCATGAAAGTGACTCTTTGTGGGCCACTCTGCTTCCTGTGCAAATCTCCCCACTGCTGTTTGCCTTGGCAAGCCCCTTTATGAAGGGGGACAGCAATATTACTTGGGGTTTTTTTGGAGGTTTTGTTGTACAGCATTTTGGCTTAATAAATTTGTATTAACTAAGCCCAGTTATTTAAGCTGGATTTGGTTTTACTTGCTTATATTTCACCTACCTTCAATATGGAGATACCCCTGCTTTTAGTGAGTCACAGAATTTAGATATAAATTCCTCAAAGAGCTTTTAGCTGTGTTACTAATTTTTCTTGCTTTTTCTTTTTTAAAACAGTCTTTTTAGATGTTGTTTTTTTCCATGTCTTACTCTCCTACACCCCGGACATGTAAAGAATTTTTTGAAAATGAGTTTTAACCTGTCAGTCACAGAGTGGCTTGGGTTAGAAGGACCCATAAACTCATCCAACCCCCTGCCAGGCCTCCAGAACTTTGTACTGCAAGTTGGGAGGCACTAAATGTCATTACAGACTGTAATTTATTATCTAAACCTTTACCTGAGTATCATCAGATGGCGTGAGCACTTGGCTTTTGCTTTGTTGTGCTTAATAATGGAATCCTTTTGGATTTTTTGCTTTTGAGGTCAGAGGTCAGCTGCTGCTGACAGCCTGGCTGGTGTCACTGCAGTGTCCCTATGGCCAGAGCAGTGGATTTCCCTTGATGCTAACGGGGATGCAGGGTTCAGTGGGGGGTGAGTGCAGCTCTCAGGGTCCTGGGAAGGACTGCAGTGTGGAATTGGTGTGTGAGGCCAGGGCATGGCTGGGCAGGCACCTGGCAGTGCTGTAGCTGTTGCCATCAGTACCCAGCAGCACGCTGTGCTCCGTGCCTCTCCTGCTGTGATGAATGGACAGCCTGGCTCTGGGAGGGGACGGCTGCCCCGAGTCTCCAGGGGAACACTTGTCTGTGCTGTAATTATTGCACAGAACTCTTCAAACTGTCACCGCAGCCCTCGCAAAGATTTTAATCAGAGAGTTCACATTTGGGGTTAATGGCAAATCATTGCTTGGTGGAGACTCGGGAGCTGGAAGTATTCCCACAGCTGCTGCTTGCAAGTGTCACATCATCCCTGGGACTGGTTCCTGAGTGCTGTGGGGTGCTGGTGGTGCAGGGGGGATGTTGTGCTGCACAGACAGTCACGCCTCACCGCAGCTGAGAAATAGATGGGCTTGTACTTGATTAAATGAGACGAGAGGAAAGCTTGCTGTTGCCTTGCAACTTTCTAGAAATGAGGTTCTCTCCTGAAATTATTCAGCTGCAGGTTAAAGGTCCTAGAAAGATCTAATTCCTGGAAATGGGAGAAGTTGTGTCAGGATGTCTCATAGGCAGCTTTCCCCTGGGTGTTTGTGTGATCACACCCCTGACTGTGTGTGTTTAGAGCAGGTTATGGGTCTCCACTTGGTCTGAAATGAAATAGAGGAAAGTGCTCTAGCATGAGCTGACTCTGACACCTCCAAGGAACTTGCACAACCACAGATGGACTTTTCCTGTCAGCATTCACTTTCCTTAAGTAGTTTCTTTTCTCTGTAAAATCTTTTTATTTAGAACCTGCTCAGCTTTCCAGGATGTTGTGCAGACTTAACTCTTAAATATATTTTAGTTTTCCCTAATAAGACTGTAGTGGATGTCATCCTGCAGCCTTGGGATGAACTCCTGAGTGCTAACAAAGCTGGATGCAGCAGATAACACTTGGTGAGGGGATGGCAGGAGAGAACAAAGCGGATGGGCTGGACACGGAGCCTGAGCTTGTCACGGCCCTCTGAAATGATGACTTCTCTGCCAAGCTGCATTGTTTCTATTTAGGAACAAGCCTTTCCTGTTCAGAGTGGAGCAGGGCTGGGAAGCAGTGAAAAATGAGGCTGTGCCTCTGAAGGACAGAGGACTTTTTTTAGCAGCTGCCTGGGTCAGATGTTTGTCCCTGGGTTTTGTTGCAGCGTGCGTAGGGCCTAATTGGTGACGGGTGATAAATGCTGGTGTCAGGACATTTGTTATGAATTTGCAAATAAATCAAATCTGGGCTGCAGCACCGGTGCATTAGAGCCCAGTGGCACAGAATGAATTTATTTCTGCGTGTGGAAGGGTATTTATGTGTGCCATGGTGCTGTTGCTGTTAAATTGTATATCAAGAGCAAGTGTTAAATTATATATTGGGAATACTCACATGTGACTGGAAAGAAGAGGAGATATTTGTTGTCATTTGAACAACTCAAACACTGGCCAGCAGCTGACATTGAACTGTGCTGTGACAGCCCTTTACAGCCCACAGAATTGTAAATTTGCCTGTGTGATGCAAAAAAAATAAGTGTTGTGAGACTAGAAAAAATATTTGATGGCAAATGGTTGAAGTAAAACATCCCTTTCCATGTGTCATTGCTTCAGTGTGGCTGTAGTACAATAAAAGTGTGGGAAAGCACATCCAGCATAGGAATCCCCCTTGGATACAGATCCTTAATGTGGGCAAGTTATCAAACCCTCTGAAACATGAGGTGAGTTGTATGGGAGAAAATCCAGGGAATTTGGTTAAGGCAGATGGATTTGCAGTGTATTTGTGTTCTGTGCTATCTCCCATTCTCTGCAAATGCAGGTATTTACTGAGGTAGTGAAAGCATTGCTGGAGTTGTGCTGCAGGTGCCAGGAGATCAGAGCTCACCTGAAAACAATAATGTGCTGTGGGATTTACCAGGGACACTGGGATTACTCCCAATATTTTCCACTGTGGAGCCATGTTGTATATAAAGTGAGTTGTAGTCATTCTGCAGTTTGATTTTTAGCAACAAGGATCCTGTGGCTTTATTTGACCTCTGTCCCAATGAGGCCAGGCAGGAGAGTGTCTCATTTTAGCCTAGAGTGATATTTGGTGGGATTTTAGTGGGTTTGGTGCACCAGGACCATGGGAGCCCAGTCCTTCAGGGGAAACCAAACATGCAGCACAAAATCCCCTTCAAAAGTACCACTGTGTTCATCTTTGCTATTTAATTATCCCTTCTTTGGGTCAGAAAACTCCACAATTACACACTAATCCTTTTTCCTCTGGTGTTTTTTTTTCCTAAAGAGGAGGAGAAACGCAGGAGGAGGGAAAACCAGATGCACCTGGAGCGTCTGCGGGCGCTGCTGATCCTCACCTTCGTGGTGCTGATGCTTCGCTTCATGATCGGCGAGAACAGGGAGGGCACCAACATCTCCTGGAACTACTTTGTCAATGAGATGCTGGCCAAGGGGGAGGTGCAGAGGATCGAGGTGGTGCCTGAGAGTGACATCGTGGAGATTTATCTGCACCCAGGTGGAACTCCCCATGGCCAAGTTGTGAGTGACTCCCTACAGCTGGGAATGAGCTTAGATAATGCTGCTGAAGGGGACTGCACTAGTGGTCAGTGAAACTCCAGCTGGTAAATTTGCTTTAGTTCTTTTCTTTCTTGTATTTGAAGTTCAGGGGGCTTCAAGCAACTGGAAACTAAAGCTTCCAGTTTGAATGGTAAAAAAAATTAATAATGGCCTGGGGGAAAAAAATCTAGTGTATGTCTAAAATGCTGGAGAAACTGAGTTTTCTTCTAGCAGCTCAGTCTGATATGGGAGAAGGTATCCAGGAGATTGCAAACTCCTATGACTGGATTTTGTTTCAAAAGTTTTCTGCTGTTTGGGTTTCAGTCATGAGCATTCTGTCAAACTCCATCAACCTTTTTTCCTAAGACCAGAGGCTTCCTAAATTCACTCAGAGCCCTGGTGTCAGTCATCTGCTCCCCTATTCATTGATGCAGGATCAAAGGGTATGGCATGAGGCTAATTTTTCCTGACCTGTCCTTGCTGTGCCCCTGTGCTCCTTGCAGATATTGATATGTAATAAATAACATTTCCCTGCTGCTGTGGCTTGCCTGTCCCCAGAACGTGACCCTGCTCTACACCATGCGCGTGGCAAACATCGACAAATTCGAAGAGAAGCTCAGAGCTGTGGAGGATGAGCTGAATATTGATGAGAAAGACAGAATCCCCATTTCCTACAAACACCCTGGCTTTTATGGAAAGTATGATATAAATTTGTTCTTAGTGTTGCTCTTGTATTGGTGACAGCATCCTTTGCTTGGAAAAAAGTGACTTTTGGCTAAATGTTATCTAAATACAGGACAGAAAAGTGAGCTTGGATTTGGAGCATTGAATGAATGTTTCTGGAAGATAAGGTGCTTTAGATGTACATTAATGTTTGAAAAGTGAGGGTCTTAAGAATTCTGTAATTGCAACATGCAACAGGCCAAAATGTTTCAGGTCAGGGTCACTGAGTTCTTGTTCAGCTGAGCACTTTTTGTTCTCATAATCAACTATCCAAGTGCAGAGTGTGATAGAAATCTTGGCAATAAATGATGTTGCAGCCTGGGCTGTGGAGAAGGCTGGGGATGCACTAAGCCTTCCTTCCTCATTGTAATGCTTTGATTTTCCCACTGGAGATGGCCAGTGTGTGTAATTCCTCCTCCCAGACACCTTGTAAAAATGTGAAGTTTGTGTCTGAATGGATACCTGGGCTGGATTTTGTCCTCTCATCAACATTTGGATGTTTTTAACATGTAGTTGAATATATGAAGATAAGCTTTTTTAACTAATCATGCAATATGAGACCTCCAGTTCAAATTCAGAACTTGCCAATTTTTCAGACTTACGTGTAACAGGAAGAGAGGACTGAACAGACAATCAGCCCCCAACGCAAGCTGTTTCCCTTGCTCCTCAAAAGAGATTTTAAACCATTTTTTAAGAGCTGTGACGGGCTGTGAAGTCTCTCAGAAGACCTGATGAATGTCTGGAGGATTTGCTCTCAGTCTGGAGCTGGAGCCTGTGAGGTGCAGAGCCTTTGCAGGGCTCAGCTCGCTCCGTGCTGTGGGCGCTCGGGGTGTTTCAGAATTAATCCTGTTTGCAGAGCAGACAAACTGAAGGTGACTTTCAGGTTTCATTGTTGCCATTGCATCTCTCACCGAGCAGAAACAAATGCAGCTGGGTATAGAGCTCCTGCTGGTCCCTTGCTTCAGTAAATCATCCCTCTGTGAGAGGTGGAACACACGTTCCTGGTGTAAAGATAAGCACAAAAGTGTGGCGAGGCTGGATGGTTCCTCAGGCATGTGGAGCAGAACAAGGGCCCACCAATCTGAGCCTGTCATCTGGCATAGGATCATTTTTCCTGCTCTTAGGAGCATCCTTTGTTTAGAGCTCACAGGGTATTTATCCTCAGCATGTTTGTCCTGTAACTGTGTTAGACCTGGGGTGTCATGGCAGCTCCCCATCTCCCTTCTAATGCAATGGGTGTTCCAAAGGATTCAGAAAGCTGACAATGTTGGTGCTGGAGCACTTTTTTTCTGGCATAAAGGACTCCTGAGTAGGATCAAGCAGTCTCTTAATGGGAGACCCACAGAGTGATTTCTGCCAGGATTAGGAGGGTTGGAATCCCTATTGTTAGCAGAGCCTGTCCTCTGCAGTGAGCTCCCTTTGGAGGCACTGCCAGCCCCAGTGGATTCTGCTCTGCGTGTGATCTTAGTGCCTGGAAGTCCTGCTTGTTTTAGAAGCAGAAATGCCTCTGAAGTGGATGGTGAGGTCGAATTTCCTCCACAGCTGTAGGCAATGTTTGCCAGTGTCCTCTGCTTAACTTCTTAGGTTATGTAATGGTTGGGGTTAGGGGTTTTATATATCTGTATAAAAACCTGTGAAAGTTCCTTGTTCTTAACCATGTCTGCTCGTTTGCACTGTACCCTAAATGTCCTTTAAAAGCAGTCAGGTCAGGTTATATTGACCAGGTGAAGCTGAAGGCTCCAGTTTGTTCTTGTTCTTTGTCCTTTCAGTGATGTCCTTTCCCTGATAGTGACCCTGGTGGCCGTGTCCATGCTGTGGAGCATCTTCCGCCTCTTCAGGGTGGCGAGCAGGGCCGGCGGCTTCAACGCCTTTGTGAGTAGCCTGGCTTTGAGCATGCTTTGGAGCCTGTGGGGAGTCTTGGCTTCTGCTGGGTTATCTCCTCCCCTTCTCCCAGCAAAGTCAGTGCAGGATGAGGATGAACTGGTGCCAAGGACTCTCCAGCCTTGCCACACCTTGCATCCTGTGCTGAGCATCTCCCTGGCTGGTACCTTAACTGGCCTTAGCCGAGGTCCCTTCCCTCCCCAATGGCAGGAAGGGCTGAGCTCAGGGAATTTCAGTCCAGTTTGCTGTTTTCAAAGCTTGCTAATGAGCTGCAGCTGCAGATGGTGTTTTTCACTGGGCCCTGCCAACATGCCTCCCATACAGCCAGAAGTAGGAATTGCTGCTTTCTGCAAAATGAGTTCTCAATTTATAAAATATGTTCAGATTCTGGAGTTCATTATGTGTTGGCCTGTTCTGCTCCTGCCGCATGCCTCGCTTGCAACACCAGGCAAACCTCCTCCTCCTCCTCCTCCCCTCTCCCACCCTGGCCTGGATCAGCTGATGGAGCTGTAGGAATCAGCCTGGGGTGCTCTGTCCCTGACCGCAGGGATTGGGATGAAAACACAGTGAATTCAGTCCCTTGTTGGATTTCCCACTCAGTCTCCTCCGCAGTTCTCTTTTGGCTTTGAGATTCTCTTTGAACAAAAGGATGCAGCTGCTCAGAGAAAAGGAATATTTTAAAGAAGTGTTGAGTAATGAGGCCTTGAGGACTAGATTGTGTCCTTGCTTAAGTGGGGACAGCCAGGCCCTGAGTTTAACTCTTCCTTTGGATGTTTCTGAGGCCTCAGAAGCCATAAACTTTCTTCTGAAAGAAAAAACCCTCCTCAGTAGCTGCTTTGAGTAGAACATACTGAGCAGTTATGAGTGGGATGTTTAACTGAATTCTTGTTTTGACTCTCGTTGTGGCTTCACATGCAGCAGGAGATGGAAACGTGGTGGCTGTTCAGTTTAAGAACCTGTAGTTTTGGCCTGGGGTGTTTCCAGCAGAAACCAGCAGCAACATCAAAGACTGTGCAAAGTGTCTGTGCTTTCATAAGTATTGGCAATTATTTACCACTGACAGTTATTTGCCATCAACACATATTCCTTGGAACTATGACTGTCCTGTGTGTATTGAGGATCAGAGCAATTAGAAATCAGGGAGGAGATCCCAAATCAGGTTTTGGACATCTGCATGTTTTTAATAATCATTCCTGCTTGGTCTACATGGAGTTTGAGCTGGATTGTTTTGGGACTATGACTGCAAGTTTATTCTGTCTCTTCCCAACATGTGGATAAATAAGGTTTGAGTCAGCCATCCATCTGGGAACTTTCTCCAGAGCAAAAATCCGTTAAACACCAGTGCTTTGGTGGGGACTTTAGTGGTGTTTGGTAGGGACATCTTGGCTGTCTCCCTGGGCTGGGCTGGCTCCCAAAATGTAGCAAACAGCCTTTCCAGGCTGTTGCCTTGTTCACAGTTGTTTGGTCCTTGTTTGCCTTCCCCAGAACCAGCTGAAGATGGCTCGTTTCACCATTGTGGATGGGAAATCTGGAAAAGGGATTGGCTTCAAGGATGTAGCAGGAATGCATGAGGCAAAAATGGAAGTCAAGGAATTTGTGGACTATTTAAAGGTATGTAAAAATAGAACAAAGCAAATGTTTGCTGCCCTCCTTCTGGGATAGAGGGGTGACCTGGGTGGGAATGCTCTCCTCTTCATCCTTCATGGTTCTGGGCAGCCTCTGTTGAAACGAGCTCTGTATCTCCAGTTCCATAATGGGAGTGCAGATGGAGCTGCTCCCGTTGGCAGCTCAGAGTTGCCCAGGCTGAGAGCATTCTGGGGAAGCTCTGGGAAGCCCCAGTGTGGTGCAGGTGCTGGTGTGAGCTGTGGCTCTGACCCAGCTGTGCTGTCCTTGCAGAATCCTGATCGCTACCTCCAGCTCGGGGCCAAAGTGCCCAAGGGTGCCTTGTTGCTGGGCCCACCAGGCTGTGGGAAGACTTTGCTGGCCAAGGCTGTGGCTACAGAGGCCCAGGTGCCGTTTTTGGCCATGGCAGGCTCTGAGTTCGTGGAGGTGATTGGAGGTGAGGTGCTCTTGTTGTCTGTTGTGGAGGTGGGGGGAGCTGGCTGGGCTTCCTGCAAAGGACAGGGCTTGGCATGGGGAGGGTGAGTTGGATACTTAGACTGAAGATATAAAAGGCTTTCAGTGATGCAGTTCCTTAATTATGTAGTATCTGAAGTGCATTTCTGCTTGCTGCTTTCTGATAGAGTGCAGCTGTGGTCCTTCACCTGCAAGCATCCTCTCTGGCTTCCCTGTACCTATTATTAAAGCCCTTGACTGAGGCTTCCTTCCTTGTATGGAAATGCAGATGGGGAAAGTAGGGCCTCTCTGTGCCTTGGGATTTCCATCCTTCTCCTTTTCTTCCTTCCTCACAGATCTCTTGAGAGCCAGTGAGGGTCAGTATGCAGGAAAATGTTGACTATTTCTGCTCTGAGCCATGGGAGGAGCAGGAGGCCATGTTGGGAGTTGGGAGCAAAGCTCCTCTTGCAGCTGCTGTAGGAGTCCCTGCAGGTTTAGGAGCCCAGTTAACCCAGCCTGAGGACCAAACACGAGTTCTGGGAGGGTTTGTCTGGTCTCAGGTGTCTCACTGAAGGCCAGCAGTGCTGCTCTGCAGCTTTGCTGCCAGCTTTAGGCTCACAGTGTTCCCCCCGCAGGCCTGGGCGCCGCCCGCGTGCGCAGCCTGTTCCGCGAGGCGCAGGCCCGCGCTCCCTGCATCGTCTACATCGACGAGATCGACGCCGTGGGCAAGAAGCGCTCCACCAACGTCTCTGGCTTTGCCAACGCTGAGGAGGAGCAGACCTTAAACCAGCTGCTGGTGGAGATGGATGGTCAGTGTTTCTCCCTGCCCTGGTCTCCTCAGAGGTCCAGCTGTTGGCCTGTTCGTCTTTGCCTTGCTTGAACTTGCCTGGCCTCTGTGGTGTTGTCTCGCTAAAGTCTGAACCAGTCTGAGCCCCTGTGCCCCATCACTAGTCCCTAAATCCAGTAAACTTTAACCCCCTGGAGTTTCAGTCCAGCTGGCCATTACATGTTGTTGGATACTTGTATCCAGTCTGAGGCAGGTAGTGGTTTAAAGCCTGTCAGAGTTTAGAGTTCAGCTGTCCTAAAGGGACAGAAGTGAAGTAATATATCAATTCTCCTGTCCACTGCCTTATGTTTGTGTTGTCTGCCTTGACCACAGGATCTCTGAGATGAGAGAGATAGGCTTTGCAAACAAGTCCTGGTTTGAGGCCACACTTGGGTTTGGTTTCTGGCTGTTGTGCACCTGGAATTGGCCCTTTGCTCAGACACCTCCACACAGAGAATGCTCCTTTGGCAGTCCTTAGTGCTGTCTCTGTCCAGGCCTGCAGCACTGACCCAACTTGCAATATTTCTGTTACTAAATCTTACTATTGCAGGGTGAGGAATAGCCAACTACCTGCCTATGAGGAAGAGTTTGTTTCAGTTTTCCCTTCACTGTAACTGTGACTCATAGCTTGACTGTCATGTTGTCTCATCACACTCTTCATATGAAAAGCTAGAAGCCATCATGCACCAAAAACATCCCCAGACCAGGTTCCAGCTGCTGGCTCTGTACTGAGTGTTTCCAGTGAATAGACAGGAGAGGCCAGTGCTAACACAGCCCAGCAGTCCTGGCTTGGGTGAGTCCTTTTCTCCTCTAACAGTTTTAGGGTGAGCTGGCCTCTGAATGAAATGGAAGCCTGCATGTCTGTTCAGGACTGTGTAGTCAGTACATTCCACATCTCTAGCCCAAAAATGAAAATGTCTGATTTCCATCAGTCTGTAAAAATTAGGTGTGGTTTCCAGAGTGTTTTCCTGGTGAGTCTCAATGCAGAAATAAGGGTTCAGCTCAACTGGAAAGTGAGTTTAGAAGGTAAATATTATCCTCAGTGTGTACTTTATAGTCCCTTGTTTGCAGTGTGCTGCTGGTTTATTTTTAAATCTATATTATCTCATTCTTTATTCGTGTCTCGCACAGATCATGTACAGAGTCCTTCATTTTGCTCAGTGCTTTATCAAACACACACTAAAAAAAAACAGTGCAAGGAGTTGAGTGTCAAACAGGAGACAGCTGGCAAGGATGTCAGCCTGGTGCTGGGAACATGGGATCAGCAGGGATCCTGGCACGTGTCACTGGAGTGTTACCTAACGGAGTGTGTCACCTAAAACAACACTGATGTGCCGTGTGCAGCACAGCAAAACAGTGCCCAGGTTGATGGAGAATGACCTGTTTAGGAGGGGAGCAGTTCTGCCCCAGGAGTGGTGAGTGTTTGTAAGGAAGCCTTGAGTTGAAGGTTGAGAGCTCTGGTTGAGATTAAACTGAGGGCTGAAGGCAAGACAAAACCATAGACCTGAGATGGGTGTTAATTGGAGAAATAAAATGCACAAAAGCAGATCAGTGAGTCATCACTGATTGTTGCATTTCTGTGATTGAATGAGATTTCTTGGAGGGAAGGGAGAGCAAGGAAAGGAGGATCGGAGCTCTGCAGGGAGCTGAGTGCACCGTGAGCTGCACGGGGTGAGTGCAGGCTGGGCTCAGTCACATTTTGGAGAAATCAGAGCTGTTCCCTGAGCAGCCCCGGGTTCCTTCCCTCTGCCAGTTGGCTGTGAGCTGGGGAAGCACAGGCCCTGGTGGGAGAAGGGGAGGGGCTGGGGAGCCTCTCCACAAAAGCTGTTTGTGCGCAGGGAGGGAGTGACGCACAGAGCAGGTGCTGCTTTCAGCAGTGAATCTGCCTCTCAAACCGCAGACAAGCGGAAGAGCAATGTGACCCAAATCTCTCCTTGTTCTGCATGCTCTGAGAGGAGCTCTGGCAGCCCTGGCCTGAGCTGGGGCTTTGTCAATGGAAGTGCAGCGCGGTCTTTGGTAGCAGCTCTTCACCTGGAACCTCAGACAAGTTCTGAGCTGTGCCACGTGCAGCCCTGAGGCTTCCTTCAGGAAAGGGCCCCATTCAGTGCTACTGCTCCCAGGAGATGTCCAGAGGCTTTTGGAGGGTGACACAGTGTAACTCTGAAGGTGAGATGCCCACCAAGCAGTGTGTTGCTCAGTGGGCAGCAGGGCAGCTCGAGTAGACCCTTTTTCCCTTTCCTTTCTGGAGTGGTTCCTTTGTGACCCTTGCAGGAACTCTTTTTTTTCAGGCTGCATTTTCAGAGCTGTCTCTCATTTGTTGCTGTGATGAGGTTTTGTTTTTGTAGCCTTTTCCTTTGGCTGATCTTTGCCTGTGACATGCCAGGTGGTGTTGCATTAAGCAAGTGGAGCAGAAGCTGATGTGAGGAGGATGCTCTCAGTGCTTCTGGTTTTTTTATTTGTTCTAATAGTCAGACCTATTTTAAGAGAGTCTTCCCAGCTGCAAGGCAGATAATGCACTGTGCCATCTAATCCTGCCATTCCTGGAGTGCCTGCCAGTCTCTGCTTGTTTATCCCACTCCAGAGTGCAGTGTGCTACACGCCTGAAGGATGCTGGGCTTCCTCCTCTCGGGCAGCTTATTTAGGCAGGAGCCTGCAGAGAGGGAGCACCAGGTCTGCTGCAGCACAGGCTGGCACAGCCAGTCCCCTGCCTCACCTGGAGCCTTGATCTGTGCTGAGCTCTTGCACGCTGACACATTTGGCAGCTCTTCTGCTGGAGCTGAGAGCTGAAACCAGCCCAGCTTACGTGCACGGAGCCGCCTCTCCACAGCGTGGGACTTGGCACAGGGAGGCACATGGGACTGTGGTGTCCTTTCCCTGGGAAGGCTGCTGTGTGCCAGGGCTGGGGAATGTGCTGGAAGCAGGTGACTCATGCCCTGGGGCCTGCAGGCACCTGGGGGATTGCAATAAATAACTGTGTGGGGCAGTGATTCCATGGGAGCTCTGGCTCCTCACCCAGGCAGCACAAAGTCTGCTCCTCTTTGCCCTCCTGCAGCTGCCAGTGCCCTGCCTTCCCTTCCCCAGAAATCCTGTCTGTCTTTGATGCCTCCCTTGAGGCTGCTCCTACTGGCTTGGCCAAATTCTGTGCTGGTAATCAGTGCAAAGCTCTTGGGTTGTGTTTTGTGTCTGGTGTGGGTTCTGCACAGTGCCTGTAAGAGGTGAGGAGGCCAAGAACAACTCGTGCTGTAACATGGCCCTTGTTGGGTGGCAAAGCTGTCCTCTCTCTGAGCAGCTCAGAGGAAAGCCTGTCCCTTCCCTGGTGGTCTGTCTGTGACTGAAGGCTGAAATAAATAAAAATTGAAAGGGCTTTTCATGGAAATTTGTGGAAAAGGCTGTTTCAGCTAGGAAATGCTGCTTGTACAATCTGGAGCTAAAGGCTCAGAAATTGACTTATCCTGGGGGTGAGAAGGCATCTGTGAACTCATCAAAACAGAGATTCTGGGCTCTAGTTGGAGCAATTTCCAAGTGTGGCAATAGGAAGGAGAAACTGAAGTCTTAAGCCAAGACTTAAATAAATTAAAAGGGGATTTCAGAGTATCTGTGAGAACCAGGGACTGGCCTGGGTCACCTGGGAGGTTTCTTCCTGGCTTTGCTCCAAGCTGCAGGGGACACTCAGCCTCAGCAGCCCAAAGGGTGCTGTGCACACCCTCTGGCTTTGTGTAAAGCTGTGCATCCATCCCCTGCCTCCAGCCCCCTGTGTGCCTGCAGTGCAGAGTGAGGTGGGGCAAACCTCCCACCCTGCTCCTGGTTTTGGCAGGAATGGGGACCACGGATCACGTCATAGTGCTGGCATCCACCAACCGCGCCGATGTCCTGGACAACGCCCTGATGAGGCCTGGGAGGCTGGACAGGCACATCTTCATTGATCTCCCCACACTGCAGGTAGGTTCCACCAGCTGCCTTTCCTTCCTGTGACTGAGCTGTGCCAGCCCCTGCTGGTCTCACTGGGCTGGCAAGGCTGAGCTTGGTGGAGATGGAGATGTGGAGCCTCTGTGCTCTGAATCAAGGATTTGTGGTGCTGATGCAGTGGCCTGCTCCTCTGCAGTGACAGCTCACTCCAGAGGTCTGGAGGTCTCTGCTCTGGTAGAGCCTTGGCAGTGAATTCTTCTGTGAGGTTCCTTTTGCCATGCAGATGCAGTTATGCTTGTGTCTTCTCTTCAGGAAATTGGGAAGCACCTAATTGGCAATTGGCTGGTGTGAGAGCTTAAATTGTCGTGTGCCTTGAGCACTGTTTGTTCTGTAGGTTTATTGCCCTCCCTATCCTTGTAAGGCTCCTCATTTTCCTTTAGGCAGCCTGTTAAGTGACTTTCTCCTTCTGAATGCTTTTTAAATCCATTTACAAGAGTCTTCCATGTCTGCTGTGTTGACATTTGTAGCAGAGTTCTGGGAATAGGCTCAGCTGCAGCGAGGATCTGTGTGCTGTGCCAGCACAGGCTCTTCCTCTCCCATCTGTGCTTCACTGTCCTCCGCAGAGTTTTCAGTGAAAATACCTTAAATGCCTGATAGAATCTGGCCCCGGAAGCATGAACTGTGCAGCTGCCCTGAAGGAGGAAGGGGAAAAACCCTGGCAACTGAGCCCATTGTTTGAGTCAGGATCTCCTGGACCAGCTGAATGAGTCACTGGTGGCTGCTCGCCAGCAGCATCTCACCCCCACCTCCATCTGGGAAATGGGTGCAGGCTGAGGAGCTGCTGGATGGGCTCTGCAGTTTGTGCTTTGTGCAGGTCCAGGCAGTCAGAGCTCCTTCCTGAGAGGGTTTGTGTGCTGGGGGAGAAGTGAAGAGAGATCAGAGTGACAGTGAGGAGGGGAGAGTGGCCCTGAGAGAGAAAGCTGTGACTCAGGGGGAACCTCGTGCATCTGTTGGGAGTGTGAGAGCTGGGTGTTTATCAGGGCTGCTGGAGCTCTGCAAGGAGAGCCCTGCCCTCTGCTGGCACTGTCAGTGTCCCCTCTGCTGGCACTGTGAGTGTCCCTCACAGTGCCACCACCCTGCTCCCTGCCGTGACACAGGGCCCCGTTGTGACCCCTGGCCTGGGTGTTCTTTACAGGAGAGGAAGGAGATCTTTGAGCACCACCTGAAAGGCCTGAAGCTGATCCAGGACGGCAGTTTCTACTCACAGCACCTGGCAGAGCTGACCCCAGGATTCAGTGGTATGATGTGTCCTTGGCTGCTCCTGCTCCACTCCCTGGGTGCTGGGGGTCTAACAGGGAGTTTTGGTCAAAAAGGGCTTTTTTCTCCATTTCTGTGGAAAACAGAAAAAAATAGTGGGAAGCTGACCAGCTGCCTGGTGAGCTCTGATGAGCAGTTATTCGTGACTATTTTCAATCTTCTGAAATATGCAGGACTAGCAGGGTGGGGAGGTATTGAAAACACACTTTTACAATGCCCAGGTGCCTAACTCCTAAGGGAAGGAACCAGTCATGCTCCTCTCAAAGCTGTTGAGGAGGTGCTGCACTTCAGAGGAGAGATTGTTAAATTGATTTATGTTACCAGGAAAGTGATGGAAGGAACAAGTAGGAATTATTTTGCTGATCAGAGTAGAAATTGGACAGCTCTGCCTGGCTCCTGCCTCGAGCCTGCTTCCAGGGTGGGTCCCTGGGAGCTTGAAACAGTGCTGAGCAAGGGGCTCCAGAGTTCCTGTTTATGTGGAGTTCCTGGAATGTCCTTTTGGGTTTCCCCTCTCCCAGGCCCCAGCACGCTGCCTCTCCGTGTCTGCTCTCAGCACCCCCCGCCACCATCACCACCCACACAAAGTGGGAACAGATGTTCCCTCTCTGCTCTCCGAGGCCGAGCACAGCAGCAGCCTGTGCCAGCCCACTGCCCACAGCAGCCCTGGCCCTGGGAGCCAGCCTTGGCCCCAGCCTGCTCCTGCATTGCTGAGCTCTGTGTGGTGTCAGTGTTCCCTGCCAAAGCAGTTGTATTATTCAAATCCAACATCAACACCAGGGGCTGGGGCTGCTCTCTGTTCCCAAGGAACAAAGAGCACAGCCTGTTTGGCTTCCTTAGGTGCTTCTCCACATTTGTTTGTGCCCATTCCTCCTCTGGGTTCTGTGTCCCATTCAGAGCCAGTGTAACTCTTGTGAACTCGTGTCTGCAGGAGCTGACATAGCCAACATCTGCAATGAAGCTGCTCTCCACGCTGCCAGGGAGGGCCACAAGTCCATTGACACCTCCAACTTCGAGTACGCCGTGGAGAGAGTGATTGCAGGTGAGAGCTGCAGCCATTCCATGGATTATGGACTGCTTTGGGTTGGGAGGGACCTTACAGCCCATCCAGTGCCACCCCTGCCATGGCAGGGACACCTGCCACTGTCCCAGCCTGGCCTTGGGCACTGCCAGGGATCCACAGCTGCTCTGGGCACCTGTGCCAGTGCTGCAGCATTTCCTGATGTTGCCTCAGGGTCTGTTCTGCTCAGGTCAGGGGGTTACATCCCAGAAAGACAGATGGGTCCAGAGTGTGCTCTGGCCTGAAGGTCTCCAATGACAATCACAGAAAGTTCTCTGAAAAAGACCCCAAATGGCTCCATCTTCCTGAATCTGGAGGAGTCTGAACCCATAGCTCAGGGAAAATGGCCACTGACAAAATAATAAAGAGGAAAATTCAAATCCATGTCAATTTTTCAGTTTAGAAGGTTGGGGCGTTGTGGTTTGTTGTTGTTTTTTTTTTTTTTTAACAAGAAAAGTGACAATATCTCTGCTCTGGACACCTGCTACATAAATATCAATAGCAAATAGTCTCTGCATCCTCACCAGTAAGAAACTAGAGATTTTTCTTTCTGCCCTCCAAGCCCAGGCTTTGATGAATTGACAGAATAAACTGCAAGACAGTGGAGCACTGTTCTCCCTCTGAGAACATCCTGTGGCCTTTCCCTGCTGCTTGTGCCACTGCCAGCAGAGGAACCTCTGGAGATTTCCCTGTGTATTGCAGGGAGGGGAAAAGAGTTCCCAGGACTCGACTTCACCTGAGGGATTTGGATCTGTTGGGTTTTGGGCTGAGCTGCCCTGGAGCCAAGCTGTGGATCTCCCAAAGAGACACTGAACTGCTTCCAGGCTCCATTCCCAGCAGGAGCCTGGGCACACAGACTGGCACTCTGCCTTTAGAGTGGAACGTGTGGAACAGGATGTTTGTGCTGGGTCAGTTATTTCCTGATCCTGGAATTAGGGCCTGAGTGTTTGCTTTATCAGAAAACACTCAGAGAAGTCCTCATTTTAAATAAGATGTTTGAAGAGATTCCTCACAGCTTCACCTGTTGCAGAAAAACAAAACCCTTGGAGTGCTTTGGTTAAAAACACAAATCCCAAACTGTACCCAGGAGCTCCCAAGAGTGGACAGGGAGGCAGCTGTAGTTGTAACACAGAAATTCTCATCAGCTGCAGCAAAGATCCCAGAATCCTGGATTGCTTTGGGTAGGAAGGGACTTTAAAGTCTATATTCCACCCCCTGCCATGGGCAGGGACACCTTCCACTATCCCAGGTTGCCCCAAGCTCCATCCACCTTAGCCTTGGACACTTCCAGGGATGGAGCAGCCACAGCTGCTCTGGCCAGCCCCTGCCACAGGGAAGATTTTTTTCCCCCTGATATTCCTGCTAAACCTCCTCTTTTTCAGTTTGAAGCCATCCCCCCTTGTCCTGGCACCACATGCTCTTGTAAAGATGTGTTCTACTTTCCCATCTGCAGGAGCACCAGCACCAGACTTGTAGAGACTCACTTGCCTTTTCTTTCTGAGCCTTGCCTTAGTTCCCCAGGCTGGGAAAAGAAAGCAGAAAGCAGGGAAGGGATCTCTGGGATCCATGTGCTAGGGCATGGCAGGACATGAGCTCTGGCAGTCACAGCTGCCTGGCCTCACTCGGGCTCTGGGGTGTGTAGGAAGCCACGGAGTCTTTTTGTTGCTTAATCAGATTCTCTCATATTAGCAGGACTGGCTATTTTTTGTAGACAGATTCTAAAAGACCCCAAACAACCCTCTAGGCCCCTGTATTAAATGTACCCTTTCCATGTCATAGGAATGCTTCTGGGTTTCACAATCCAGAGGGCATTTCAGTTCCTATAAAAGCTTTTCTTGAAAGAAAGAAGATATTACTGTGCTTTCCATTAGGAGCTTCTGGTTTTAATAAGAGTGGGGTGGAATCAAAAGGGAGCTCTGCAAGTCCAGAGGCCCTGTCAGCCTTAAAGCTTTGTGTTGCTGTAAGGGAGGAGCAAGAACTTTTCTCTGTGGTAGTTCCCATTGTGTTTTGAGTTTGGGAACAGAAAGCAGTCAGTCAGGTCTCCTGGGAGTGAGGGTAGAAACCTGCTGAGCACTCAGAGGCTTTTAGGGCTTGGCTTCAGAAGATGGAGCCTGTTTTCTTGGTGGGGTTTGTGTAAGGCCAGCAGAGATGCACCAGAGTTGTTTCCTGGGTGGCTTGTGTCATGAATGTGATAACTCCAGGCTTTTAGGGGACTTCCATGCCTGGAGATTATGGAGGAAAAGAAATCATCTTGGTGGGCACACTGTGCTGTTGTGAAGAGCACAGTCCCTCCCTCAGTGGGCTGGCAGGGATTTAAGTGTCTCTGTGTCTGTATGTGTGTATATATATATATATATACATATACACATATATTTTAATAGATAGATCTTTCTGTGGAAATCGCCATACAGGGCCATGCTCACACTCTGCTGGGGGCAGGGTAAGGCTCTGACTGATGAAATCAAGGCAGTTGCAATTAATCTGCTGTTCCATCGTGCCTGGCAGGGCACAGCAGTTTCCAGGGTCCCTGAGCAGTAATTTTACAAGATCTGCCACACTAATTTTGTTGTTTCCTTGTTTAATAAAACCCTTGACTTGGTTTAAAAGTTCATGTTAATAGAATGTTGTTTTCCAAGGCATGAAGCAAGCTTGGTGCAATATTGGTTCTGACTGGCTGCTCTCCCCTCTGCTGCCCTGGGCTCTGTGTGGGGACTCTGGCCTGCAAATCCTGGGACATTTTTGCATCCAACATTCTGATCTGTAATTAGTGCCTGACACACTGTGTGTTCTGTACTTATTCTTCCTATGTGCTAGAAGTTTTACTTCCATTCTTTTATTTTTTTTTAATCCTTTTTGAGCTTGCTGTGCCAAGTTGGAAAATAGATACTTTGGAAAATCACCTTCCTGGAGGAAGGGTTAAGTGTGAGTTATGGCTTCATTTGCTTCCCAAGAGCCTGGGAATAAGCATATATAGAGCATGCCATGTGTAATCAGAGACATTTCCAGGCTCTGGAGAAGGATTTCTGTATCTACTCCTGGACTTTAGCTGATTTGAACACTCCTAATGCACAGTTTTCTCAACTGGGACCTCATATATATGATTCAACATCTCTCTTCTCTCTTGTTCTGCCTAAGGGACTGAAAGCAGCAAAATGAGTGTGAGACTCTAGCTAGTCTCATTTTGGGTTTTGTTGTTTGTGATTTTTTTGTGTCGTTTTCAGGTTTTTTCCACACCAAAAATAAGTAAGCTGCCTTTTTACAGATCCAACCGTGGGAACAAGGTTCTTGAGCTGTGATCAAATCAAATGTCAAAGTATTTGTCTAATGATAAGTCTGTTGTAAGGAGAAGTGGGAAAAGTTTCTGCCAGGGTTTTCAAGCAATCCCAGGCATGGATTGCTTTCCCCCTCAGGGCCAGGGAGCACCTTTTCCAAACATTTTAGCCAAAGGGTTTTTGCTGCCTCCTCCTCCCCAGAGTCAGCACAAACAGTTCAGCCACGGGCTGTGCCCTGAGCTGGACCAGGTTATGCCCCACTGGTTGCACCTGTTGATAACTTATCAAACCCTGGTGTGTGTTCCCACAGGCACTGCCAAAAGAAGTAAGATCTTGTCACCAGAAGAGAGGAAGGTGGTGGCGTTCCATGAATCCGGACACGCCCTGGTTGGGTGGCTGCTGGAGCACACCGAGGCTGTCATGAAGGTACCTGCCCCTCCAGGGAGGGCACTCCCAGGGCTTCCCTGCCCAGGGTTGGTGCTTGTGTGCAGCTCTGCTCAGCTCTGTGAGCCTGGGGCTGTGCTGCTGCAGAAAAGGAAATGGCAAATACACAATCACAGAATCATGTTCCTTAGAAAGGACCTCTGAGGACATTGAGTCCAACTACTTAGCACTGCCCAGCCCACTACTAAACTAGGAGAGGTTCAGGCTGGATATTAGGAATAAATTCCTCACTGAAAGGTTGGTTAAGCAGTGGAACAAGTACTCCAGGGAGGTGGTGGAGTTACTGTCCCTGGAAATGTTCAAAAACAAGTGGACGTGGCACTTCACAGTGTGGTTCAGTGGGCTGGTGGGATTTGGTTGAAGGTTGGGCTCGATGGTCATGGAGGACATTTCCAGCCTTAATGATTCTGTGATTATATAAACCATGTCCCTAATTTATGCTGTAGAGAAATCCATTATTAGGCTCCGTTGATGACAGTGCTGCTGCAAAGCTGATTAACAGCTATAGGAGAAGCCTTGCAATTAAAAATTACAAGCAACTGAGTCTCCTGGTGCTGCTGCTCAGTCGTGCACTTCCAGGCTGCTCTGTGTGTACACACATCCAAATGTGATCCCTTTCCCAGCACGTTGCAGGCAGGGAGGCCCCTGCAGGAGCTGCTCTGATACTGATGGAGAGATGTGTTTTCCAGGCTGGGAGGTTGTCTGCCCGAAGCCCTTCTCTGCAGGGAAAGGCCTCTTTGGCACCCTGGGATGTCATCTGTGCCCATCTCCAAAAGCAGGGACACTGGGGAGGTGGGGAGTGAAATGACAGGGGTGACAGCTCCTTGGCCAGTTACCAGCAGCACATTCACTCTGAATGACCCATTGTGTAAGCAGAACTGGTGTTAATTACTCTCATTTAGTGGGTGGGGAAAATGGCTGTTATTTTTCTGAAGGCTCCTGTCTTTCTGCAGGTAGTCTCAGGGGTTCTGGAGCAGAATCAGTGAACTCTGTGTGGCCTATACACTCCAAAGTAACTCCTAAATTTCAGGATTTCTGTGCCTTGCTGTTAAGGATGATTTCCTGAGCAGGAAGTGTGTTTGTGTTTGAAGGCAGAGGAATGAGGACACGCTGCTGTCCTTGCCCATGTCTCTGGAGGCCAGCCTGTCCATGGCTATGGACAAACCTCACTGGGAATGCAGAGGCCTCTTGCTGGCCTCCCTGAGGTGCTGCAGGGAGAGCTGGGCAGCTCTGTGAGCTGAGGGAGCTGCTCTGTGTTGCAGGTGTCCATCGCCCCTCGCACGAACGCGGCTCTGGGCTTCGCACAGATCCTGCCCCGCGAGCAGTACCTGTTCACCAAGGAGCAGCTGCTGGAGAGGATGTGCATGGCCCTGGGGGGCAGAGTGGCCGAGGCCATCACCTTCAACAGGGTCACCACAGGTGAGGAGCCAGAGCCTGGCACGGGCAGGTGGAGATCCAAGGGGATCTGAGCAAGGGATGGAGGTTTCCTGTGCTGGCAAGAAGAAATGTCACACTTGCAGGCCTGGAGGTCTTAGGGCTGGTTGTCACTGTCTTGTCTCAGATTTGTCCCAAAGCTTAAAGCCACATTTACAGCTACTGGTGAGGCTCTTGAGAAGACCCAGAACTTCCTTTGCAGTTTCCAACTAGTTAAATCCAAATAGGATCACAGAATGGTTTGGGTTGGAAGGAACCCTAAAGCCCATCTTGTTTCACCCCTTGCCATGGGTAGAGACACCTCCCACTAGACCAGGTTGCTCTGTGGGCAGTGGCAGGTCTGGACTCAGGTGGGCTGGCCACAGAAGGGTCACTCTGTCACTCCTGGCACCTGCAGGAAGGACCCTCAGTGGGTTGAGTGTTCACCCCCATGGCTGCGGTGAGTCCTCTGCTCTCTCCACTGGAAGGACATGTGTTTGTGCAGGATGTGCTCTCTATGCACTGAGCTGAGAGCTGGCCAGCAGTGTGTGTGTGTCTCTTTCCTGCCCAGGAGCACAGGATGACCTGAAGAAGGTGACCAAGATCGCCTATGCCATGGTGAAGCAGTATGGGATGGTGCCCAGCATCGGGCAGATCTCCTTCCCAGAGCCCGAGAGTGCCCCTGGCATCGGCCGGCGCCCCTTCAGCCAGGGCCTGCTGCAGATGATGGACCACGTAAGGCCCCCCTGGGCTGAGGGTTCCTTTTTGTCCTTTGCTTTCTGCACTTCTTGAAAAATGCCGAGTGGTTTACACCCAAACAACTTGCATTCTGCTGTTGGCCAGTGAGTGAGCAGTGACCTGTTCCATGTGATGTGAGGCAGCAGGAACAGGCAGAATCCACCTGGCTGTGAGTTCAGCCCAGCAGCCTGTGCTGTGCAGGGCTGGGATGGCAAGAAACCTGTGTCTTAAAGTCACAGTGTAGATGTGTGCACTTCCTAGACCAGATCTAACCAATGGTTAGATGGTCAAACAGACTGCAAATCAGCCTGTTTTGACAGGAAATTTGGCTTTGTTGCTGAAAAAACACATTGCTTTAGTTCAAAAGCCAAAAAGCTGGGAACAAAAAAGCTCTGTTTCAGAAGCACCATGTCTGTGCTGCCTTGGGATTTGTGCTGAGCTGCACCTTTAGCTCCTGAACAGCCTTAATCTGCATTTCCCATTGAGCTGTGCTAGGGCAAGACTTCACTGCCCCTTATCACCAGCACTCCCTGGGCCTTTTTGCAACCAGTTTATCCATAGTTTCTGTGCATGGGAAGCCCATTCTGCCTGGCTCAGTTTGCAGATTCCATCCCTCAGCGCTCTCCTTGTTTAGCCACACATTGTGTTTGTTGCCACCTACACCCCACCTCCCTCTTGTTGTTTCTCCAAGGAAGCCAAAACCCTGGTGGCTCAGGCTTACAGGCGCACAGAAAAGCTCCTGCTGGAGAACCGGGACAAGCTGCAAACCGTGAGCTGAATTGTGTGGGGGTTTGCTGGGTGGTTTGGGTGTTTTTAACTGGTGGTTTTGCTGCTTGCTGTGCTCTGTAGCTCAGCTGTTGCAGTGTTGTCTCTCTCCTAGAAAGTCTTGTGGTGGGAGTGTTGGGAACGAGTGACTGTTTACTGTGTGTCCCCCAGATTGAGAGCAGGCACGGGAGGAATGTGTGTGCCTTTCCCAGCAGTGAGTAGTCTGCCTCCTCACACCAGCTGGTGTTTGCAGGGTAGATAGAGGAGGAGGAGTGCTCTGTGGAAATGATCAAAGCTGGAATTTGTGTCCTTCACCTGCACTTCTCTGCTTGCCTCTTGGCAGTGCAATTTTCTGGAGAGCTGACAGTGGCTGTTTTTAGGAAGCCAAGCCAGTAATCAGGTGGACAGTGTCTGGCTTTGGTGCAGGAAAATAGTGCCTTGGCTGATGGGGGCTGGTTCCTGCTTTCTGGTGACTCCAGACAGTTTTCACCTCCTTAATGACTGATACACCAAAGAATCCTTGTTGCAGAGACAGAGCTTTGCCTCCTCCCCTTTGTGTCCTGACAGTCCCAAACCAGCCACACACCCTGGCACGTCCCCACCTGTGCCAGGTGCTCTGTGCCCAGTGCTGAGCCAAGCTTGGGCCACAGCACCCTCTGCATCTCCTTGACTTCCCTTCAGAATTCCAGTCCGTGACTTCCAAAATGACCAGGGGTCAACTGAATGTTGCCTATTTTGCAAATCAAGCGATTCTTTTCCTTAAATCCTCTTTTTAAACAAACAAGAACAACAACAATCATCCCTTCAGCTACTCAGTGCCAGGCCTCCAGTGCGTGGTGAGGAGAGAGCTGGGACACGCTGCTGTCCCCAGGACAGTGCCCTGGCAGCTCTGGAGCAGGGATCCTCAGGGGTGTCTCTGCAGGCTCCTCTGTCCTGCTGCTGCCATGTAACAGCAGCCAGATGTTTGCTAGAGGCTCAGCACAGAAAAACTTTAAAGTGCAGCCAAAGTATCTCCAGAGTCAGTGTTTCGGTTGCCAGGCCAGCGTGTCACATCTCCTCAGCAGGATGGAGCAGTTCCACTCTGGACAGCCACCTGCTGCTCCAGAGGGGTGGTGCTGCTGCCAGAGGGGCCAGAGAATTCCACTCTTGTGCAGAGGAACTCGTGCTGACCTCCAGCCCCTGCCTGCAGGAACAGGCAGCTCTTTGTTAGCTCTGTGTGTGCAGGGAGGGCTCTGGCTCTGCCAGAGGTCTCTGTGCTGCTGCTTTGGCTCTTGGGCAGGGCCACAGGTGCAGTGGCAGTGGCAGGAGGGACACTTCTCTCATTGTTCCTGGAGCTCGCATTGCAGATCATTCCCAGGAGCTTGCTTTGTTGCCTGCAGTCACATTGTGTGTTCCTGGCCAAAGGTGCCCTTGGGAACGGTGCTGGAGCCTGGAGAGTTTGGGGTCACCCCATCTGTGGGGGCACAGCCAGCTCTGCTCCTGGGGGCTGCAGGTGCCGGGGCTGAGTTGAACTGAAGGTTCAGAGCAGCTCAGAGAAGCAGGTCTCTGCTCTCTGTGGGGGCTCCATGCCTCATTTTGCCTCCCTCCCCTTTGCAGCTGTCCAATGCCCTCCTGGAGAAGGAGGTGATCAACTACGACGACATCGAGGCGCTGATCGGGCCCCCGCCCCACGGGCCCAAGAAGATGATTGCTCCTCAGAGCTGGCTGCAGGCTGAGAGGGACAAGCAGGACACCAGGGAGGAGGAGACACCTCCCCAGCCCCCGAGCCACGAGGAGGAGGAGGAGCCACGCCTGAGACCTGTGTGAACCCCCTCCATGTGGAATGGGGGCTTCTCTTGGACACAGAGCCTCTGCCTTCTCAGCTCCAGAATCAAGGTGCTGAGCAGGGAATTGCTCTGCTGCTGCTACCCCAGGTTTAGAGATGGCTATGTGAGCTCTTGGAGCTTGATCCTGCAGGAAGGAGAACTCCTCAGGATTTCAGAATGGATTCCTAGCGGGGTGGTGGTGATTAGGAGTTGGGTAAGTCTGATCTGCTGTGGAAGTTTCTTGTACACAGGAGCAGGGAACATATTCCAATGGGTGGAAAGTCCCATGTAAGCCAGTTCTGGCTGTGCTCTGTGCCATGGCAGGAGGGCAGGGCTGTGCCCTCAGCATGGGGACACCCCTGTGGGGCTGAGCTGGGCTGCTGCAGCTCTTGTGTAACCTTTGAACACAACACACAAACAGCCCTGGCTGGAATAAACTGCCCACAACGTGCTGCTGTGTGTGTACAATGTGTCAGGCTCTGGGGGTGTTTGGCACACATGAAGCTCGTTAGAGCTGTGGAGTGGTACAGGACAAGGGCCTCCTTCTCCCTGGTCAATAATTTATGTCCAGCTTTTACAGCAAGCTTTTCCCAAGCAGAAGTTGAGGCAAAAAGAGCTGAGCAGTGGGACATAGAAACCAACTGTGCAGAGGGTGACTGAGCACACATGGGAAGATGTTCTGAACTGCTGGTTCTGAGCTGCAGGGGTGCTCTTGGAAATCCAGCAAAAGCAGGTGTGTTTGCTGGGAATCCTCAGGAAAAGCTCTTTCATCCTCGTGGCTGTTGCAAAACACGCCCTGCTGACAGGGTTGTCTGGTGTTCATCAGGGGAAGCATTAAAGTGGTTGTTGCTGCCTGGAGTGCCCTGGCTGGCTGCATTTTTAGGCAGGATTATTGTCTGGAGTTGCTCCACCAGGGCTGTCTGTGACCTGGGAGACCCCAGCCCCAGCCTGGGCTGTGCCAGCTCCCAGCCCTGGGGCCTTTGCCTCAGCCCCAGCTCCTGTCCCGGCTCAGGCTGGAGCTGGGAGCCTCCTGCTCCCTGAGAATGTGAACATGTTCTGCACTGTGTCTTCTCCCCTGTCCCAGCCCAATCCCTGGGGTCTCTCAGTGCCCAGGGAGTGATTTCCCTTGAGTTCAGGGACAAACGTAACTTTCTTCATTTTGGATGCTGCTGCCTGGATGTTTTAATTCCAAACTTGTTTGTTTCTTCCCAGTCTCATTCTTTGAATTTCCTTTTCCAGCAGCAGATGAAATTTCAAGTTTTCTTTGATTTTCTTTTTTTAACTCACAGACCCTTTGTGGGGAGGGGGGTTCAGCTCTGTGGAGCTGGGGCTGAGGGTGGGAGCAGCACTGGGGGACAGTGCAGGGTCCTGGTGGCTTCTGGGCTGCTGCCAGCACTGCTGTGCCACTGCTCCCGGGAAGGGCTGTGGGACCTGGGATCTGCCCGGGGGATGGAGATGCCTCTCCTGCCTCTGCGAGAGAATGCTGCTACCCCAAACGGGCAGCAGGGAGCCGGGATCCTGTTCTGGGGATGGATGGGGATCCCTCAGCATTTGGGACCAGCGGAACCCTTGCCCAGTGTCCGTCCCATTGTCCTGCCCAGGAGGTGCTGGAGACAGAGAGGGCATCGAGCCGCTGCTGCCGGTCGAGGCTGGCTGCGGCCCCNCTCTGCAGCTGTGAGGAGAAGAGGAAGCTGAGGGTGAGGAAGAATGATGGGGACCTGTATTCCTGCCCTGGGGGCATCTGAACCCCATCTTCCCTGGGGGTGTGCTGGGCACCCCTCAGTGCTGGGGACGGGGCTGAGCCCCCCTGGTGCCCCCCTGAGCCGTGCCCATCTCAGTGTGTGGTGTGGGACTACGACTCGCGGGGCAAGCACGACTTCATCGGCGAGTTCTTCACCACCTTCGAGGAGATGCAGAAGGCCATGGGGGAGAACAAGGTGGGACATGGGGACACGGGGATGGCCTGGGGTCACCCTGTGTGCTGCCAGCAGAGCCTGTCCTAGCAGCCACCTTCCAGCTCCTCCTCTGGGTTCGGCACCATTTTCTTCTCTCTGCCCTCCTGTTTGGGGAAGGGATGCTGGGTTTGGGGTCAGTCATGGGTGGGGTGGCTGGGAGGGGGGAAAGGCAGCTGCACCCTGGGGCTCTGGGGGTGCAGGGTTATTGGGCTGCAGTGTTCTGGGGGTCCCCATGGGGCAGAGTGGCACCGGGATGGGGGTGCCCGGGCTGGGCCGTGCCCGGGGGGGCCGCAGGCAGCGCGGGTGCCGGTGCCACAGGTGCAGTGGGACTGCATGAACCCCAAGTACAAGATCAAGAAGCGCAACTACAAGAATTCGGGGGTCGTGGTGCTGCTGGACCTGAAGGTGAGCTCCTGGAAGCTGTGCCAGGCTGTGCCAGGCCATGCCAGGCTCCATGGGGCACAGCCGCCTGACGCAGGTCCCTCTGGAAGATCCACAGGGTTTACTCCTTCCTGGATTACATCATGGGCGGCTGCCAGATCCATTTCACGGTGAGCAGCGTCCCCTCCCTGCCCAGCAGGGACAGCCCATGGCCCTGCTCACCCTGGTGACCCCACTGTCCCCTCCAGGTGGCCATCGACTTCACAGCCTCCAACGGGGACCCCCGCAACAGCTGCTCCCTGCACTACATCAACCCCTACCAGCCCAACGAGTACCTCAAGGCTCTGGTGGCCGTGGGGGAGATCTGCCAGGACTATGACAGGTTGGTGGCTCTGGCGGGGCCACACACACTGGTGGCATCCACCCAGGGTGAGATCTGCTGGTGACAGGCACTCAGCGCTGGCACCAGAGCTCCTCACACCCTTCCCTTGCAGCGATAAGAAATTCTCAGCTCTGGGCTTTGGTGCCAGGATCCCCCCCAAGTACGAGGTGAGGGGGTCTGTGGGACCCCAGGATGTGCTGGTCCCTCTGGGTGCCCTCGGACGTGGCTCTGCTGGGGTTGGCAGGCACTGGGGGCTGTGTAGGGGTGCGCCAGCTGCCCCCTCCTCTTCCTCCCTCCCTCCAGGTCTCCCACGACTTCGCCATCAACTTCAACCCTGACAACGATGAGTGTGAGGGTGAGTCCAGCTCCAGAGGGGCCAGACCCATGGCTGGCATGGCCCTCACCCCTGGCACACCCCACAGGCATCCAGGGCGTCGTGGAGTCCTACCAGAGCTGCCTGCCCAAAATCCAGCTCTACGGCCCCACCAACGTGGCTCCCATCATCTCCAAGGTGGCTCGGGTGGCAGCTGACGAGGAGCGGACCAAGGAGGCCTCGGTGGGTCCCCGTGCCCCGCCGGGGCCGGCTCAGCCCCCGCACACGGGGGTCGGGCAGCCCCCGAGCATCCCTGTCCCCCCAGCAATACTTCATCCTGCTCATCCTCACCGACGGCGTGGTCACGGACATGGCGGACACGCGGGAGGCCATCGTGCGCGCCTCCTACCTGCCCATGTCCATCATCATCGTCGGCGTGGGCAACGCCGACTTCACCGACATGCAGATCCTGGACGGGGACGACGGCGTGCTGCGCTCCCCCAAGGGCGAGCCCGTGCTGCGCGACATCGTGCAGTTCGTGCCCTTCCGCGAGTTCAAGAACGTGAGTGGGGAGCGACAGCTCCTGCCTGCCCCTGCCTGCTCCTCCAGGCTCTTCCCTTCCCTCCCGTCCCCTCCCGTCCCCTC